TTATAATTCAAATGCAAGGCACTGAGATAAGCAGTAACAATCATTATCATTCAGGAGCTGGACTGGATGATCCTCTGGGGCCCCTTCCAACTCAGGATATTCTATGATTCTGTGATTCTGCATCATTCTAGCTATGACAGCTACTGTTCATAGTGCTTGTGGTGTCCTACGATGGAACTAATCACCCAATAGTCAGGCACTGAAAGGTAGCAATATAGTTATTGCCCCATAATGACTTTGTAAAAAAAAATAAAAATCGCCTGTTGTGTACCATATGACAGAAATGAAGGAATTTTTTCCTACTCAGCTACTGAAGTTACTTTGGCTTAGGAGCTCAATGCATTATGTGAATGAGAAATACACTACATATGCATAATACAAAGCCCAAAGGGATGAGTCTAGTGGTTAATGAAGTTAATGTACATATTTCCACTGATTTCAGTGGACACCTCAGTGTTATACCTTCAGAACACACAGAGTCAAAACAAGGGCTAGGCACTCATGAAGTCTAACCAGGCAGCCTCAACAGTCATCCCAGAGCATCCTTCTAATGGCTAAATGGCAAAATATAAAATGGTTATAATTTTTCAGTCATATATTACGATGGCTATCACACAATTGCAACACCTTCCTACTTTGGACAGCTCAGCTACTGTATAAATGCAGGCTGATTTAATTTTAGGTGTATGTTTCTTAAGCATAGCCTTTTATTCCCTAATTCCTGGAGATCCAGCTTTTGACAAACAGAAGGTGCTTCTGATGCAACCACTTTACATAAACCACAGAAATCTGCTTTGCTGCCTTGCTTCTCTGTCAACATTTAAAATGCAATTGATTCATGTTAAGCACAAAAATCCGTCTTGAAACCTAAACGCTCTTTGTCTGACTTTAGCCGTGGCTGACAAGCTGAAGTGCATTTTTGACAATGGTGGCTGTGAACAGTACTGTGCCGACGAGCAGTCCGGAAAACGAGTGTGCTTCTGTGCGGATGATTACACTTTAGCGAGTGATGGCGTGTCCTGCATCCCCCAAGGTAGGAGTAGCCTGATGCTAAGTCTAAGCCAGCTCTGAAAGAAAGGTTTTCAACATGTGCGCATGAGGAGGTGCAAGGTATAACCCTTAGGTACCAGCTCCCCACCTCTTCTTCACATGCAGAGTCCCAAATAGTACATTTGGGCTTCTGGTGCAAGTTAGACATCTCCATAAAGCAGCTGTCCGTGTGCACACCAAGCAGGGAGCCCTCTGAATTTCTCTTTTCAGTCCTCTGGGAGATGGCAAATTCAAGTTTGAGCATCCCATCTGCTCAGAGTTAGGAGGGAGATGAACCCCTGTCTCCTCCTTTGGGAGAACCCAAAGCAAGTGGTCAGGGATTTTGGGTCAGGCTGAGGGGTTTCTGGTAAGTGGAGGAGCTCTGGGCCTCACAAGTCTTTGATTTTAGCTTACACCTACAGTGGGAAAATATTTCACAGGTAGCATTATTTTACTGTTGTCTCTCAATCTGAAATTGTGACTGGATTTTATGACTATATTTATTTCAGTGCAAGGGTCAAGAGAGGAAGAAGCCTATTAAAACCAAAGAAAAACAGTTATTTTCTTTTTCTTCTTCTTCCTTCCTTCCTTCCCTTTTCTTCTTTTTCTTCTTTTCTTATTTAGTAGGAATACTATATTTTTGGTGTTACTATAGACACTCTGGTTAGATATTTCTCTCACCTGACAAGGTCAGTTTCAGCTGGGACTAGGGTAGTGCAAGTTAATTATTTTTCCAATACACAAGCTGGCACCTGACTCTATTGCAGATGCCTGCTTGAATTACTTTATTAGAGGGGAAAAAAGAGACCCCTGGGGATATGAACATAACA